GTGAGCCCCTGCGCCCCCACCCCATTGGTCCGCGGTTCCGGCACCTCCGCTTCCCATTGGTCCCTGAAGAGAGCTCATTTACATAGACATACCGAACTCGCTGCTGTCATCCCGCGTCAGACCGCGATTCCGAAAGGGGAGGAGCTGATGCCTCTTAAAGGAACAGGACAGGAGGTACAACTCCGCCCCTCTAAAGTAGAGAGTGGTAGAGAACTTGCGGGGACGTGCAGAGCGGAAGCCTAGGAAGGAGCGGCATATAGTCTTGTGGAGGAGGAGGGGCTGGAAGGAAGCCCTCGAGGAGTCCCGGAGCGCTTGAGGTGTTTGCAGTTATGAGAATATGCACCCCAGTTCCCGCGAAGGTGTGCAAGGGCTGATTGGAGCACTTCCCAAGCCTTCGGAGGGCGGCAGAGTTCCCGGGGAGCGGAGGGCTGGGGTGCTGAGACCCCGCGCCTGATGCCTGCACGCCTCCTCTTCCCTCCCCCGACTTCCCGTCCCTTCCTCTCTCTTTCCAAGGGATCAACACTTTCCCACCAGCCTGGCTCCCCGACCTCATTCATCATCCTCTGCACTGGGGGTCTTTGGCAGTCAAGCATGTGGAAAGGGCGGGGGGGGGGGGGACCGTCATCTTCCCGTCCCTGATGGGGGCAGGGAGGACAGGGAGACCTGTGAAGACTTACAGCTGCACCCTGGGCTGGAAGAGGGGGTGGTCGGGAGGAGAAACTACACCCCGCAGCCAATGCGAAGAGTGTAGCGGGGACAGAAAGTTGAACCACGCGGGCAGGCAGCATGTGCACGCGCGCACGCGCCCTTCCCTAGGAATCCAAGGTGGTGGCGCACTCTTGTGATCCCAGCACTCTAGGAGGCTGAGGCAGGGAGATCCCAAGTTCGAGCCCAGGCTGGGCAATTGAGCAATTTAGTGCGATCTTGTCCCAAAATAAAAAGGATTGAGGATGGGCGAAGGCCCTGGGTTCAAGCCTCACTGCTGAAAAAAAAAAAAATGTTAAGGCTAGAACTGGGGTGTTGCAAAGTCTGGGTTGGGTCTACGTCTGGATCTCTGCTCCAAAGCAGTGAAAATAGCTTGGACTTGGCCGTTAGAAAATACTCAAATCTGGAGTCTGCCCCTTGCTAGTCTTGTGCCTGGAAACCAGTGATTTGATGTCAGGAACTTCACATTTCCCAGTTTGATACCCACATCACGAAGTCCTGAATGCACATTTAGTGAGATTAAGACTAAGCACACATCGGTCAGTGAATAGTTAATAGGAGCTATCTGAGGTCAGTCACCTAATCCAAGGGCTAAACATCTGGTGTGTGCGTGGGGATGAGCGTCATGAATCTGCCTCAAAAATTGTGAAGATTAAATAAAGTAGTTGGTTGTGACTTATTAGTGGTGCAGGTAGTGGTATCAATTTAGTATACTACAATCAGCAGTTAAAAGCATAAATGGATATCACAAAGAGCAAGGCTAAGTATTGTTGTTTGTTTGCACTATATATAGGTTTTACCATACGAAATTACCATTACATAAAGTTAAGAGAGTGGAATATTGTCAATTTCATAGGGTTCAATGATGTGTTTGTAATGGATGGCAAGGTCAGCTGCATCTCTTACTATCACAATCAAAACAACTTTGGAAAATATGGAAATAAAGAAGTACATTCAAGAGGTTTGTGAAATACATGAATTGTGTATCTATGCATACTTGCATCCATACACATACATATACACAGAGTTCATCAAACCCCTAATAAGAAATTAGAAATCCTCCTCGTCCCCATTTCCCAATAGTTTGTTTTTAAGTCCTAACTCACAAAACAGGTAAACATATGGAATGTGTTAGCTCAAGAGGAAGAACAAGTCAGATTAGGTTCCAGAAGGTTCTAAGGGGCACAAAAAATGATGTTTGGGGGTGTGTTTGCTCTGAGCAGCATAGACTTACAACCACAGCCCCAGACTTCACACCCACCCCAGGCCTCTAAAGACATTTTCTTTTGAGACACTCCACTTCCCCCAAGCTCCTGGGCTGCTGCACAGCAGTTACTGCTGAGGGCTTTCCTTGTCAGAGGGAGGCAAAGGGAGACTTATGTCCACATCACATTGGATGACTGCAGACTTAGGGGCCAAAAAATCCAAGTCAAAACCAGACTCATAAATGTGTTTTATGTGGGCCTTGCAACATGTAACAATCAGGAAATTAAGCCGGTCATGCTAGTGCACGCCTGTAATCCCAGCAGTTGTAGGCTGAAGCAGGAGGATTGCTAGGAGTTGGAGGACAGCCTAGGATGCACAGTCAGTTCAAGGCCAGCCTGAACTATAAAGCAAGATACTGTCTCAAAAAATATAAAACAAAAAATCAGGAGATTATACATAAAAGTCTGACTAGCCACTGGGGATGTGGTCAAGCATTTGGCCAGCATTCTGGAGGCCCCAGGTTTGACCCTCCAGCACCACAAAAAAATAATCTGAGTATCTGACTTCTTTCAAAATAACTGGGATATTTTCCTCCCTTTGTTCCCTGGCCTGCAACACAAGCAGTTTTGCTCTAGCCATGGTCTGCTGCCTCACCACAGAACCAAAGCCACAGGGCTGATCACTCAGGGACTGGGCCTCCAGAATTCCTGAGAGTCTCACAGACAAAATGCAAGTTGTAATCATCTTTTACTTCTTCCCTACTAAGAGTGCCTTATTCCTACCAATCCTCAAGAAATGTTGAGTGAATGAAGAAACAAATGAACAAAAAGAAGAGACCTGGTGAGTTTAGACTGATGGATAACTTTAGGATAATGGCTGATGGCAGGACACACAGGAGATACCCAGTAGTCGGGGAGCCAAGTAAGGTTTATACACTTCTGACCAAAAAAAAAAAAAACGGGCCAGACATGGTGGCACAAACCTGTAATCCCAGCACTTGGGAGGCTGAGGCAGGAAGATCATTATGAGTTTAAGGCCAGCCTGGGCTGCACAGTGAGTTCAAGCCCAGCCTGAACTGCACAGTGAGACCCTGTCTTTAAAAAAAAAAGGAAAGGGGATTGTTGGGAACACAAGGATGGGTACCAAAGGAGCTCTATAATCCAGGGCAGGGTGCTGGCTGTAGAAAAGGCCACACCATGCGTCCGGGGATTTAGCCCAGTGGTTCCACCGCCTGCCTCGCAAGCACAAGGTCCCAAGTTTGATCCCTGGTACAAAAAAAAAAAAAAAGGCCACACCATAGACCCTACCTGGACCACTAAGCTCTGGTGCCCAACCAGTATGCAAGGTGAAGGGTACAGTTTTCCAACAAGGTCTAAGTCACCCCTGGAAGAGATGTATGTTCTGGTCCATCTCAAACCTTGAAGGGACTCTGTAAATGCATGAGAATCCTAGCCACATCCCTCACTCCATACCAACCCCACCTGACCTTTCTTTCTCCTGATTGTGTGTGTGTGTGTTGAACCAAGGGCCTTTGCACTTGAGTTACACCCCCAGGTTTTTGGTTTTGTTTTTTGAGACAGAGTCTAAGTCACAAAGTTGCCCACCTTGAGCTCAAATTTATAATCCTCCTGCCTTAGCCTCTAAGAGTGCTAAAATTTTTACTGATTTTTATCATCCAAATAACATCAAAGCAAAAATTAAGCCTGCTTTAAAAAATCATCACACTCTAATACTGCTTCCCATGGAACTGGCCTTTCCCGGGGATTCTTCACAGCACCATTAAGGGTCTCAATGGTAATAACGGATTAGAGGGAATGGAAGGAAATCACAAGCCAGTGTGTGCAGGAAAAGCCTGGACAGCTGAGCTTCACCTTTGGAGAGTGGGTCTGGGACGGGAGGGCGTGCATTTTGCTTTTTGTAAGTCTGTACTGTTTGACATCTTGCACAATCAGAATTTTCATTTTTTTCTCTTAAAACTGAGGCAAAAATAGAAACAGTGCAGAGGAAGACTACATGGATTTTAGGGGTTGGCTACACAGGGAGAGGGAGGCACAGAGAAGGCTCATAATGACGATTTTGAATAAGGCTTAAGACTTTTCTGAACAGAGGCCCTTTATGGAAATAAGGAAGTTAGGTGGACAAAGAAGTTTGGGGGAGAGGTACAGGGTGTGATCAGAAAATACAGTGAATGTTTAAAAATTGAATTACAGGGCCAGGGATTTAGCTCAGTGGTGCTGCTGCCTGCCTCGCAAGTGCAAGGACCCGAGTTTGATCCCAGGTACCAAAAAAAAAAAAAATTGAATTACAGTGATAGACACATTGGCTTTAACTCCCCTCAAAATCCTCCCCCATGCTATGAACACACTTATCTCATCGTTCTTGCCACTTTCTGAAGCAGCTGTGGAAGTCCTCTTTGGTGTCTTTAGTTGTGCTATTGTGGGTGCTTCAATGTCCTGCAACCATTCAAAACATTTACCTTTTCGTGGTAATTTTGATTTTGGGCAAGAGCCAGTAGTCACACAGTGTCCGATTCAGTGAATAAAGTAGATGAGGACACACCATCTTCACAGAAATTGCTGTAAACTGCAAACTGGTATTGGACTATGTAGTCCAGCCTAGCCTTGAACTCACAGCGATCCTCCTGCCTCAGCCTCCTGAGTGCTGGATTACAGATGTGTGCCACCACTCCTGGCTCCTTCCTAGAGATTTTTTGGGGGTTTTTTTTGGTATAGGGGATCAAACTTGGACCTTGCACTTCCAAGGCAAGGATGGCACCACTGAGATAAATTCCCAGCCCCTTCCTCCCTAGAGTTTTAAAGGGACTCAGCGCCCATTCCTGTCATCAACTCCTCTAACTGCACTCTAACTTGTCTGGCCCCATACTCCTCCCTGCCCTGCCTGAACAGGAGGCCAAGGGCAGGAGAACCAGACCCACAGCTCCCCCAAAGCTGTGGGAGGAGATGGATCTCCCTCCTCCTTGTGTTCTCAGCAGGCTGGAGGCAAGGACCAGTGCCTGTCAGTTAGCTGGTGACAGCATGGGGAGGAAGAGGAAGAAGAGCATCAATTATGCACAAAAGCAGGGACAAGTCTCGGGTTGTAAAAAAGGCTTTTTTATTGAGAGCAGCAAGTGTAAAAAAAACCACAAAACAAACAAACAGAACAACAATGGTAAAGGTGTGAGGGGAGTGGCCCACCCTCCACAGCTCATCCAGAGCCCACCCAGCCTCCCATGCCCACCCACCCCATGCTGCAGTTACATACAAAAGCCGCCCGCGGTGCATACAAAAAGGGCGGGTTATATAGTGTCAAAAGCTCCTGAAAACTCCTTCATCTGCCAGGCACTTAGGATGAGGGGAGAGGAGGGCAGGGAGGCCGGGGTCTGGGTGATTGTGCCAAGCGACACTGGAGGACTCTTGCCGTGTTCTCCACAGTCCTGGTCCAGAGCCCAGGTGGGGCCCATGGGCGCTGCTGGGTACAGGAAGGAGCCCCCCGCCCCAGCCCTCCAGGCAGAGTTGGCAGAGGAGTGACAGAGCTGCACCTGGTCAGAGGAAGAAGCTGCAGGCCAGAAATCAGGGTTACCTGAGGTACCCACGCTGTCCCTGATGAGGGTGGGGGTGGCAGAGAAAGCTGCCTAAACCAAGGCCCTAGTCACCCGGCTTGGGTATGAATCAGCCTCCCCAAGGCCGAGAGGGAGGGAGAGGAGGGAGACCCAGGCACTGCCCAGACCTTGGCTGTGCCCAGACAGGGACCCCAGGGCCCAGGGGGACGGGGCTCTGCCCTTCACGCTGCAGGCTCCCCAGGGCATTCTCCCCTGCCCCTGCCATCCTCGGCACAGCCTGCCACACCTTGCTCACGGCTTGCCATCTGAGGAGGGGCTGTTCCCCAGGGTGCTGGCGATCTCGCTGAAGGAGGGCCGGTCCTTGGGGCTGGGTGCCCAGCAGCGCTGCATCAGCTGGTAGAGCTTGGAAGGGCAGCCCTCAGGCTGTGGGAGCCGGGCCTTCCCAACCTGTAGATCTGCAGAGGAGGTAGCAGAGGGTGAGGGAAGCACTTAGCAGTCTGTGCAGTGCTCCATAGGTCCCCAAGCAGCACATGACTGAGGGTAATGGGGGAGCGACGGCTGATGGCAGTGGACACTGACTTGGGATGCAACCTAGAGTGGTGAGTCTCCAGGCCCTGCCCACTGTGGCTGGCTGGGAAGGGTCTTCCACGATTTAAGAGTTGTTAGACAGTTGTCAGAGCAGCCAGGGCAGGCGCTGGGGGCAAGGGCTCTGTGTCAATCTGTGCAAAAGCTATGGGCTTGCTAAACACCAACCTCAAATCCAGAGTCACCCCGTGGAAGCACCGCAGCTGCCTACCTGCTAGCACCTCATCATCTGCCTGCCCACTGTGCGGCAGCTCCCCATGGGTGAACACTTCCCACATCAGCACCCCGAAAGCCCAGACATCGGACTTGGTGGAGAAGTCACCCTCCAGGACAGCCTCTGGGGACATCCAGCGCAGTGGCACCCAGGCCTGGCGAAAGTGGTAGTACTCGCTGCAGGACAGAGGCAGCACAGGCAAGGGGTGAGGAGCACAGAACTGGGGTCTTGGGCTTGTCCTACATCTGGGACCCCACCCCAGCTCCGCCCAGCCTTTCCCCATCAAGGCACTCAGGGAAAGCAGTGAAATGTCTGCAGCACACAGGGAATGCTGGGTCCACTCTGGAGGTACCCATGTGGGGTTTGATGGCTTAAAATTCTACTAAGAAGGCCCAGGGATTTAGCTCAGTGGTGCCGCACCTGCCTTGCAAGCACAAGGTCCTGAGTTCGATCACCAGTACTGGAAAAAAAAAATTCCACAAAGAGGGGCTGGGAATATAGCTCAGTGGTGCAGTACCTGCCTGGCAAGCACAAGGCTCTGAGTTCAATTTCCGGTACCAAGAAAAACAAACCAAGCCAAACACAAATTTTACTAAGAATCCTATTTGCCTAAATGTTAACAGAAAAGAAAGCTACTCATCATATATCCTTTCTAGATTAGTTCTAAAAATGTAGAAAACAAGAACTTGTCCAAAGAAAAGAGCTTATAATCAATCATGACCAAAGCAACAGTCAGAAAAACTGGAGTGACTGTAAAGCAGCGGTCTCCAGGGACTCGGGGTGTGCAACACCCGAGAGAAATGTGTGGCTATGACACTGAGCTCTAAATCTGAGGCCTCAAAGCAATAATTATTGAACTCAGGAAGTTGGAGAGGGAGCCAGTTATACTACACATGAACTGTTACAAAGTTTGCCTAGTAAAAAGAGGTTAACTTTTTTTTTTTTAACTTACAGTCTTCTTATGTAATTCAGACTGGCCTTGAACTCACAGCAATCCTGAATACTGTGATTAGAGGTATGAGCCACCCACGCCTAGCTTGAGGGTTATCATTTTTACCACTAGAAAAACATTTACAACTAGCAGGGACTCAGAGCCTGCTGCCCCTTTGGAAAGAGGAGAGGAAGGGTCTGTCCCTACCCTGGGCCTCCAGCTTCGGATAAAGCCCCTCCCCCACTGGATCTACCCACTGGGAAGGAGTGGGGATCCCCACCCCACCTGGACCCTCCTACCTGTTGTACACATCCTTGCTGAGGCCCAGGGCTGATACCTTCACCTGTCTCTGGGCACTGATCAGGCAGTTGCGGGCAGCCAAATCTTTGTGCACAAAGCGGTTGTTGGACAGGTGCTCCATGCCCAGGGCCACCTGGGTGCACAGGGCCACCTGGGGAGAGAAAGGGGCCCATCAGACAGCCCAGGGCAAGAGGTTGAGGTGACCACCAGCTCCTGGCAAGGTCTCCAGACCCAGCACCACAGCAGCCTGAGCCTCTTTGTAAATGGGGATCATGCTGTGCCTGCCTTACTGGGCTGGCGGGGGCTGGATTAGAGGGAATGGAGTGCATGGCACCATGCCTATGTGCAGCAAGTGTTAGATCAAGAGCGGCACATGGGGCCAGGGTCACAGAGTAACCATGTGAGTGGAAAAGAGCGGGGCCTAACACCAGCTTTGAGCTTTATGGTGGGGCTGTTGCTTTTTCTTTTTACTTCAAAAGTACGTATGTTCTGCTGGTTGTGTAAAAACTGTGTGTTTGTGTGAATGTACATGCAGGCACACACATGACTCAGTTTCTAAGGAAATAAATGAAAACCAACAATGCTAGCACCCCATACCCTCAAGGATTCCTTCTCAATGCTATGTTCTCCCTCAGTCAAGAGGTAATCCCCCCTTCCCCAGCCCCTGCCCCAGGGCTGGGGTCAGACCAGGGCCTCACTCATGCCAAGAGAGCACTGTTCCACTGATCTACGTGCCTAGCCATTTTATTTTGTTATTTTGAGACAGTCAAGCCGGGTTGTCCAAGCTAGACCTAACCTTGTGATCCTTCTGCCTCAGTCTCCTGAGTTGCTGGGATTATAGGCTGTGTGGCACTTCCTGGCTGAGATTAATCTTTTTCCTTTTTAAAAAAATCATTGTATTGGGCCTGGGATTTAGCTCAGTGGTGCCATGCCTGCCTCACAAGTGCAAGGTCCTGAGTTCGATCGCCAGTACCGCAAAAAATAAAATAAATAAATAAATAATCACTGTATTTGGTGTGTTTCATGAGTATATACCATGATTTAATCATTCTAATGCCAATGGAGAGATGGGTGGTTTCCAGTTTTGGGCTATTAAGCACAGAGCCGCTTCAAGCATCCTCACAGGTATGAATACACCTGAGTTTCTCTAAGTTGCCAGGGATAGGTGGTAGAATATGAGTAGCTCTAGCACTACAAAATACCATCACACTATTTTCCATAATGTATGAGAACTGGGGAGATTTTTCACTGATACCCTTTTGAGCCATAAGAATATATCATATTATACATTATATATTAAATGTATATAATGAAATATGAGGTCTGATTAAAAAATACAGTGTGTTTAAATAAAAGTCTATTACAGTAGCTGGGAGTGCTGGTGCATGCCTGTAATCCCAGCACTCGGGAGGCTGAAGCAGAAGGATCGCTGTGAGTTCGAGGCCAGCCTGGGGTACATAATGAATTCAAAGTCAGCCTGAACTACATAGCAAGACCCTGTCTCAAAAACAAACAAATAAAAAATCTATTAGGGGGCCGGGGATTTAGCTGAGTGGTTCTGCTGCCTGCCTCACAAGCGCAAGGACCTGAGTTTGATCCCCAGTACCAAAAAAAAAAAATCTATTAGGGCCGGGGATTTAGCTCAGTGGTTCCACTGCCTGCATCAAAAGCGCAAGGTCCCAAGTTCAATCCCCGGTACCAAAAAAATTAAAAATCTATTATAGTAAAAGATACACTCTCTCCCTCACTTCAAACACACTTAATCCCACTGATCTTGCCACTTTTTGAAGCAGCTCTAGAAGTCTTTCATGAGCGTCCTGAATCCATTCAAAATATTTACCTTTCATGGTCATTTTGATTTTGGGGAAAAGCCAGAAGTCTCATGGTGCCAGATCTGGTGAATAAGGCAGATAAGGACACATCACCATGTTTTTATGAGCCTGCCTTTCCATTGGTGGCACTCGGCAGCGGCAGTCACTGTATTATTTTTTATTATATCTCATAAAGAAGCTCACTAAACAGAACTACCAGAACTACTTCAGAAAGTGACAAGAATGATGGGATAAATGTGTTCAAAGTGAAGGAACATCTTGAAGGGGGTTCATGGCAATGTGTCCTTCACTGTAACCAATATATATATATATTTTTTGGTACTGGGGATCGAACTCGGGTCCTTGTGCTTGTGCAGCAGGTGGTGAAACCACTAAGCTAAATCCCCAGCCCTGTAACCAATATTTTTTAAAGTAAATATTCACTGTAGTCTTTGATCACTTCATACTACCACTTTCAAAGCCTATGTTAATGCACTGAACAAACATTAACTGAGCATCCTCTATAAACCACACACAGCAGATGACAGCAGGACATAACAGGTCTGTTCAAGACAGGGCTCCTGGGGAAAGGACAGATGCAAAGGGAGCCAAGGGCTGTGCCATTGTATCCACAGTATGGGGCCACTACCAGGGACAGGAGGTCATCGGTGAACAGAAAAACCAGCATCTCAGAGTCCTTATAAAGACTCATGGTCCTTTCACCTCTGTGGCCTTATCTAAGCCCTGGGGGCCAGCCTGGATGGACCCCTCATATATAAAATCAACCAAACAGAAGAGCAAAGAGGTCCCTGGGACCCACGGGGACCCATGCAAATTATGGACAAGTTCCTGGCCGGTTTTGTGTTTCTTCGGCATCCAGACTTGCTCTCAGAGTCCCTTAGGGAAAAGTTACCACCTCTCAACACAACAATGGAGGGATGAAGATATGAACATGGCCAGTGACCAGAATCACCGAGATCAAGGAAATACAAACTAAGACCCAGTGACATCACTGCACACACATCCAATGGCAAAAGATCAGAGGGCCATCTTCAGCTTATTCAAATGGTTTAGGAAAAAATGCATAAAAACCAATACTATGGCTACAAATGTAAAATAGGGACTAACAAAGCAAATGAGGCAAATATACATAATTGAATTTGGACAAAGGTTTGTAGGGGATTCTTGGACTATTTTTTTTTTTTTTTGTACCGGGGATTGAACTCAGGACCTTGCATTTTCGAGGCAGGTGGCAGAACAACTGAGCTAAATCCCTAGCCCACTTGGACTATTATACTCTTTACATGAAATACCAGCCAGGGATTTAGCTCAGTGGCATAGCGTCTGCCTCGTAAGCGCAAGATCCTGAGTTCCATACCTGACAACAACAACAAAAAGTTTTAAATACCAAAATTAAAATTCACCAGACACACACACACAAATGGCCAATAACCACATTAAAAAATAACAACAATAACTAACTATATAAAAGCAAGCTATATGTAGACTAATAATGGGAGTACATTATGGATTAACCAAGGATTATTTATGGTTTATCTGATTCTATGGTCCTAAGGTTCAAAAGGGAAAACCAGGGAATGGGAGCAGTCAGGAGCTGCTGCCAGGTTTCTCAGCACTGGTGAGGGAAGCCAGCGCAGGGTACAGCTCAGGAGCAGAGCTCATTCTAAGTGTGCTCAGGACCCTGGGTTCCAACCCCAGCACCACTAAATAATGAAAGGAGGGGAGGGGACAACTGCTAACCATCTACTGTGTGCCAGGCCTGGGTGGGGTGGCTGCCTCTCCTCACACCGGCCTATGAGGAAAAGCTCATTCTGAGCTTGGTACAAGGTCCACAGCCAGTGTATATTTCCAGCTCAGTGTCAAATTCTTGCTCTTGAGCTGGACATGGTGGCACATGCCTGTAATCTCAGCACTTGGGAGGGGGAGGCAGGAGGATCACTATGAATACAAAGCCATCCTGGGCTACACAATGAGTTCAAGGCCAGCTTGGACTACATAGTGAGACCCTGTCTTAAAAAAAACAAACCAAACAAACAAAAATCCTTGCTCTTTTTCTTGTTGTGGTAATGGAGATTGAACTCAGGGTTGATCTACCGCTGAGCAACACTCTCAACCTTTTCTTTTTTTTTTTTGGTACCGGGGATCGAACTCGGATCCTTGTGCTTGCGAGGCAGGCAGCAGAACCATTGAGCTAAATCCCCAGCCCTCTAATTTTTATTTTGAGACAAGGTCTCGCTAAGACTCCCAGGCTGGCCTTGAACTCACGATCTTCCTGCCTCCACCCCTGGAGTGGCCTCTCCTGGGTCACACTGCTGGCGATGGGCCCAGAGGGCAGCTGCTGGATGTGGAACTGGCCCTGTGGCATCCATGGCTGGCTCAGAGGAGCTTTTATCAGCTTGGCTCCCGGTCTCAGGCAGGGGAGCTGAACCCAAGTTCAGGGAGAGGGGTTCTCCCAAGACAGCCCTTCCCAGCATGTGTTCTGCCAGGGATGTCTCAGGACTCCACTGGTACCTGCCTACCACAGTCATTGTCTGTTAATGTATTCTGAAGCCAACTGACTGGCTCATAACCAGCATTAGAAAAAGAAATGGAAGAAGAAATATCAGCACAGCTGGGCACAATGGTGCACTCCTGTAACCCCAGCTACTCAGGAGGCTAAGGCAGGAGGATTCAAGTTGGAGGCCAGCACCAGCCTGGGCAACTAAGCAAGACTCTGTCTCAAAAATAAAATGCAAGGGGCCGGGGATTTAGCTCAGTGGTTCCGGTGCCTGCCTTGCAAGTGCAAAGTCCCGAGTTCAATCTCTGATACCAAAAAAATAAAAATTATAAATAAATAAATAAATAAATAAGAAAGATGAAAGAAGGGCTAAGGATGTAGCTCAGTAGTACCTGACTTGCCTAACATTCATGAGGCCGAGTCTGATCCCCAGCACTACAAAACCAAATTAATTAATTAATCCTAGCATTCAGAAGGCTGAGGCAGGAGAATTGCCATGAGTTCAAGTATAGCTTATGTATTTAGTTCAAGGCCAGCCTGAGCTTACAAAGCAAGACCCTATCTCATAAATAAATCAATAAATCAAGCATATACACATAAAGGTATGGTCAACAACTATGGTAAATGTTTAAATTTTATTTTTTGGTACCAGGTATCAAACTCGGGACCTTGCACTTAGCAAAGCAGGTGACAAAACCACTGAGCTAAATCCCTGGCCCTAATTTTTAAAAAAATTATAGTAAAAGATACACTGCCATTAATCCTCCTCAGGACACTCCCCCTTGCTTCGAGTGTACTTATTCCATTGTTCTTGGCACTTTCTAAACCAGGTCTGGAAATCCAATTTCGTGAGTATCTTTAGTTGTGCTGTCATGGCTGCCTCAATGTTCTGAATCCATTAGCATTTCTCTTTCATGATCATTTTGACTTTGGGGAAGAGCCAGAAGTCACACAGTGCCAGATCCGATGAATGAGGGGGATAAGAACATGCTGTGATGTTTTTATTTGACAGAAATTACCAAAAACATTTTCAATCAATTAAGGACATCACGGCAGCTACAAAAAGATACAAACAAAAGAAGACTTCCAAACTGCTTCAGAAAGTGGCAAGAAGGATGGGATAAATGAGTTCAAAGAGAGAGGGGTGAATGGCAATGTGTCTTTTACTATAATAAATTTTTAATTTAAATATTCACCATGTTTTATGTTTCTTTTGTAGTTGTTTTTTGGTACCAGGGATCGAACTTGGGTCCTTGCGCTTGTGCAGCAGGTGGCGAAACCACTGAGCTAAATCTCCGGCCTCTCACCATGTTTTTTGTTTTGATCATGCCTCATATGTGTGTGTTGGGACGAGGTACAAAAATCTACTTTTTGCTCTTGTAGCTCTCAGATCAAACAATGTTCAAAAGCAATGCGTTAAATCTGTGCTGTCTATAGACAGCAGCAGGCACCAGTCCCGTGTAGCTCTTTAAATCTAAGTTAATTGAAACATCATAAGATCTAAAATTCTGTTCTTCAGTGACTCCAAATTCTAAGCACTCAGCAGCCAAACAGAGCTGGTGATGACACGCGGACCAGCATAGGCAAAGGACATTCCATTGTTCAGGGGATTCTATGGGCCAGCACTGATTGAAACCACCAGCAGATGGGACCCGGCTACACAGCCACACATTGCTTGACAGAGGCACTGAATGATGAACGAGACCCTCACAGGTGGGAAAACGAGGAAAAACAATCTCACCTTGGTGCATTTCTTTATCAAAATGAAGACACACACATCTCTGCACAGCTTCTAAGCAGTGACTAATGAATGGGTCAGAAGAACGCATGGCTGCACTGTGTCTCCAGTAGAGTCCATGACCCCAAAAGAACCCCTAGAAAACCACCCCCAGGATGCCCCAAGTACCTCTGGTGGTAAAAAGGCCCAGAGAGCAGAGTCATCATAGGCAACTCTGGTTCAGGCTTCAATACCCCTGGGGACTGTCCTATCTGTAAGTGGCTTGGGTAACCAGAGTGGCCTCAGCCGTCTTGCAATTCCTCTCTGGTCTGGCTCCCAAGCTAAACAATCTGCTGCTAACAAGGCAAACAAGAGGGTGGACTAAGGTGCTATCTTTCCAGAGAGGTAGTGCTTCTGGAAATACTGGCTAAGTGAGGACAGTAAAAGGGAATTCTGTTTGACCTAAGCCAATTAAGCATTTCCTTGCTGCTGGGCAAGATGCCATCAGATGGCTGCTGGGTTAATTCAAATACTGTTATAAAGCCCTGTTCTTTGGTCAAGAGCAGACCCGCCCCTTCCTCCCCAACTTCAACACCCCCAGGCTCGCCCAAGCCCTGGCCAAGCCTCTGTGACAAACTGAGCTCTCCCCACAACAGTCTTTTGTTTCCACTATGACATGCCGCACATAAAGCATGGGCCCCAGGTGTGCCAGGCAGGTGACCCCTGGAGAAAGAATGGTTTGACACCCTCTTATCAGATACTCTAACTGGCCTTGCCTGCAATTAGGGAACCCCCAGGGATGCGCCTGTCATCTCTGTCACTCTCCACTGATATACTGAAGCACCATCTTTCCACCTCTAGCTGTCCAGGGAGCAGCCCATCTACTGCTCCATCATGCTCTGAGAACTTGGCTTTTCCTCCTTCTGCCCACTCCTGTAGGCCCTGGCAATAGAAAACTGATAGAGCTCCCACCAGATAATCAGCACAGGCAGTACTTTTCCCAAGGACTTTCACTTTCATGGAATTCCCAAAAGCAATGCTTTTTAAACTGCTCTGTAAGACCCATGTGGGTCTTGAGTCCACTTCAGTGAGTTTAAGAAAAAGCTGGCTGTGGTGGTACATGCCTGTAATCCCAGGACTCTAGTAGCCTGAGGCAGGAGGATCACAAGTTCACACCCAGTCTAGACAGACAATTTAGCAAGGCTCTAAAGAGCTGGGGATGTTGCTCAGTGTGAAGACCTTGGATTCAATCTACCCCAAAAAGAGAGAAAGAAAGACAGGGAAGGAGGAGGAAAAGGAGGAAGAAGAAGAGGAGGAGGAAGAGAAAGAAGAGGAGAAAGAAGAGGAATAGGAAGAAAAGGAGGGAAGGAAAGAAAGAAAGGTAGGAGAAGAGGAAGAGGAGAAGAGAAGGAGCCGGGAACAGAGGCACAAGCCTATAATTCCAGGTACTTGGAAGGCTGAGGAAGGATGATCAAAAGTTTGAAGACAACTCTCAATAAAACCTTATCTCAAAAAAAAAAAAAAATAAAAAGCCAGGGATTTAGCTCAGTGGTGCTGCCACCTGCACCGCAAGTGCAAGGTCCCAAATTTAATCCCCGGTACCAAAAATAAATAAATAAATAATGAAGAGAAAGACTGAAAGATTCAGGTCCTTAGCCCCCACTCCCAAGTACTCTGATTCCCTCATTCTGAGGCATGGTCTAGATACCTAGTGGTTTGGTTTTGTTTTTGAGACAAGGTCTGGCCATGTTTCTTAGGCTGGTTTTGTACTCTTGCGCTCAAACAATCCTTCTGCCTCAGCCTCCTGAGTAGCTGGCATGACAGGTAGGTGCCACTGTGTCCTGTGTAATCTTTATTTTTTCTGGGTCAGGAAGGTACCAGGGATTGGACCGAGAGCCTTTGCATTGAACTACAACTCCAGCTCTTTTTTTTTTTTTGGTACCGGGGATCAAACTCCGGTCCTTGCGCTTGTGCAGCAGGCAGCAAAACCACTGAGCTAAATCCCCGGCCCTCATCCAGCTCTTTTTATAAATTATTACTATTTTTTACTTTGAGACAGGCTAGTCCTCCTGCGTTTGCCTCCCAGAGTGTTGGGGTTACAGGTGGTGCCACCAAATCCAGCTGCACTGTTAAAAAGCAGTTCCCATATCGATGCAAGGTATCATCCTCACAGAGTGTGGCACCCAACTCCCTGAAGCTACCCCATCAAATTCAACATGTTATGCCAAAAAAAAAAAAAAAAAAAAAATCACAGGAGAGACTTAAAAACCAGGTGGTGACTTGCAATCAAACAGATTCCCTGGGTCCTGGGGCAGAGGTAACTGACTTCCTGTGGACCTATCTCTGTCCCTCTCCTGGCCTCGGAAATGTACCTTGCCTCTCTCCCGAAGTCACCTCTTTCCTGCCATTCAGCTATTTCCTGTCCTTTAAAACTGAGCTCTGATGGCTGTCTTTACTGGGAAGCCTCTTGCGTCAGCTGCAGCTGTCTGCCCACCTAAAGGACTCAGACATCTTTAGTCTCTGACTGACATATCCCACATGGCTTCCGGGCAGTCCTCAAGTCCCTAAGTGTGTGACACCGAACTTATTCACCTAACATCAGCCATTACATCCTAGGCACCTGACGGCAGGATGCCCATCACAGAGGGCCTTTCACAAGGGGAGCCTGGGGACATATGACCAGGGCTACACCGTGCTATTTCTGGCCCAGCACTCAATGTGGGCACCAGCAAAGGCCCTGTCCCAAGGGCAAGGCCCCAGCAGCCCTCTGTGTGAGTCAATATGGCCACACCCAGCCACGTTCAGGTGACATTACTAGGACAAGTTGTCGACCTCTTTAAACCTCAGTTTCTTCATCCCCAAAATGGGTTGGTAACACATAGCTCGGGGGACCACGGTGATGAGTAAGATAACATGTGGAAATTACAACAGGAAGTGCAGAATGCATGGCACCTTGGCTACCATCTGCACCCTTGCTCCTGGCCCACCCTTGAGGACCTTACTGTCCCCTGTCCTCATCCTTACCTTCTGCTTGGTGCTGAGGGGTTGTGACTTCAGTTTTTCATCCTTGCTCTTAGAAATCCTCAGGAACTGCTTGAGGTCTCCCTAAGGGAAGAGGCCAGCACCCCAGTGGGCTCCAAGCATCTAACCGAGCTGATGTCTGAGCCCAGGAGGAGGGCGGAGCCCAACTTTGCCCACAGCCCAAACCCCATGGACTTTATGGCCAGGGGAGAGCTCTGCTCTGAGTTCTCTCAGTCAGAACTGTCCCTCGATCCTGACAAAGCCTCTGCCCTCAGCCCGCCAAGAGGAAGACACAGCCCTTAACCCTGTCCTCATGGATCCCAGGGATGAAACTCTGTTTCCCAGGAGCTTAGAATCCCATAGAAAAGGAGGCAGGAGGCCCCAGCATTGAACAGACAGAATAGCTTCCTCCACTCAAGCTGGCAGATGTAGAAGCAGCGGTTTGGGGACCAAGAGCACAAGCACTCGGAGCAGCAGGGAATGAAGGAGGGGCAGCCCTGGGAGTGACAACCTGGCAAAAGGAGGAGGCTGAGGCAGGGTGAGCACTTCTACCATGAGAGGAACAGGGAAGGGAGGCAAGGTTCTGACAGGTTTATCCCAAAGTGGCACCAAGCTCACGAGAGAGAAAATAACCAGAGAGAGCAGCCAGAAAGAGGCCCCACACAGTGCAAAGCCCCAGAAGGACTTCGGACCAAGACTGGGCATGGATGGGAAGTATGGCCTACAGGAAGGACAGGCGGCTGGGCAGCTCTGAGGGTACCAGCAGAGGCAGAGGCCTCCTTGGTGTTCCCACCCGAGACCCTGGGTCCCTGTCCTTCTGCTTACCAGGTCCACATACTCTAGCACCATGTAGTGCGGCTCAGCCTCGCGGCACAGCCCCAGCAGCCGCACCACATTGGCATGATTCAACTTTCCAAACATCTCCAACTCCCTGCGGAAGTCCAGCTGCTGCTGCTCATCCTTGCTCTGCAGGCTCTTCACCAGCACCAGGGTCTCGGCTGTGCCCTCCTCCAAGCCCTGCGCCTTGGCCAGGAACACCTCTCCAAACTCGCTCTTCCCTGGGGGAAGGCCTGGCTATCAGCCAGCGGCCTGCACCCGAGCCGGAACCCACTGTCTAGGAGGGGCCTATGGTGGATCTTTGCTGTCCCCCCTGCCCCAGCCTGGGTGGGCACCAGCCCTGGTTCTACTATAGGAGCAACCCCCGACACCTCCCTGGGCTTCAGTGACTTCAAGACTAAAATGAACCGGGTGTGGCGGTGCATGCCTGTAATCCCAGCACTCAGGGGCTGAGGCAGAAAGTCTGAAAATTTGAGCCTAGTCTAGGCAACCTGACTTATCGAGACCTTATCTAAAAATTAAAAATTAAAAAAGGGCTGGGATGTAGCTCAGTGTAAAGGTACTAGGTTCAATCCCCAGTACCAGAAAAAAAAAAGTAAAATAAAGGGGTTGGATTCTACTAGCCATCATTTTCCGAGTGGTATGCATGAGAAGTTTTGGTAGCTAATGTCTTAATAGGTACACGTTTTTTCCGGTACTAGACACTGAACCCAGTTGTACTGAGCAATATCTCCAGCCCTTTCTATTTTTTTTATTCTGAAATAGCGTCTCACTAAGTTGTGCAGACTAGCCTTGAACTCATGATCCTCCTGCCTCAGCCTCCCAAGTAGTTGAAATTATAGGCATGTGCCACCATATCTAGCAATAAGTACATGTTTTAATGCATGTTAGGAAAAACTTTAGCTAGAATAAACTCATAATTTCTCATATATTTTTTCCTAGAACAAAGCTAACTTCAAGAAAAGAATTTCAAAAAAAGAAAGGGGGAAGGAAGGAGAGAAAGAAAGAAAGAAAGAAAGAAAGAGAGTGAAAGAAAGAGAAAAGAAAAGAAAAGAAAAGAAAGAATTTTGCTGGGGATGGTGGTACAAGCCTGTAATCCTAGCACGCTGGAAGATGAGGCAGGAGGATTGCAAATTCAAGCTCACTCTGGGCAATTTAGCCACTTAGCAAGACCTTATCTAAAACAAAAAAATAAAGAAAAAAGGCTGGGGATCTAGCTCAGTCTAAAGGCCCTAGGTTCAATTCTCTGTACTAGGAAAAGAAAGTCAACTTAATGAAAACATCAAGGAACTAATACTGTAGAGCTGATACAGGAATGACAGGATCTTGGAGGGTGGTGTCTAAGCACAGGGGACCATCCCAGATGAGGCCTCCACTTGTGCTCCTGCTGTCTCTGACTTCCAGGTTCCTGGGTTGTCAGGCCTACCCTCAGCCCATCACCCAGCCTCAAGACAGGATGGGTGACACATGATGAGCCAGCAGCAGTAGCCAGGGCAACATACCCAGCGTGGTGATGGGCTGCAGGCTGGACCGTGGGAAGTGCATCTTGTCACTCGTGCTGTGCCGCTTGTTGGTGGCTGCAGGGCCAGCACCCAAGCTGGTTAAGGCCACTTCCTCTTGGATCTCTGCAGAGGGCTGACCATTCTGCAGAGGCCCACCTGAAACAAGGGACACAGTGGGTGTCCGATCCAGTGAATAAGGTGAATGAGGACACAACATCATGTTTTTATTTGACAGAAAGTGCCATAAACATTTTGAATCCATTTAGGACATGGAGGCCATGACAATCCAACTAAAGACCTGCAGGAAAGAGGACTTCTAGAACTGCTTCTGGAAGTGGTAAGGATGTATTCAAAGTGAGAGGGAAGATTGTGAAGGGGACTCATGGCAATATGTCTTTTACTGCAACATTTTTATTTAAACATTCACCATATATTTTGATCACACCTTATACTGATCATGTCTGTGATTTAGTGCTGGGAAGAGAAGGCAGAGAAGCAGGCCACTGGTCCAGAGCCTTCAGTAAGAAAAATCTTGGGCCAGGTTGCTCAGAAGCCAATGCACTAAGAATGGGCCAACTCTAAGCTCCCAGTGAGGGTTGGGGCAGCCCCAGTTCCCAGCCCAACTGCTCATTTCCTGCAGCACTGCACTCTCCTCCATGGCAGCAGAAGGGCACTGAGCACCTATCCTTCAGCCACCCATCACCCACCACCTCAACCCCACCCGAGGGATGCTCATGCTCACCGTTGAGGCACTCCATCTCTGGCTCCTCACCCTCAGGCTGCTTCTGCAGTCGCTTGGCTTTGCAGCGCTTCTTGCAGTAGAACATGAGACCCAGCACAGCGATGATGTAGGCCACAGCAGCACCCACAGAGAGTCCAATGGTCTGGATCATCTTGTACGGGGGTGGGCTGCCGGGGCCCTCTGAGTCTTCCAGCACTGGCTTGTCTAGGGGGCACAGAGAGATGTATCTAGGCAGGGGCTGCTGTGCAAACTAGGCCTGACTTCTCTCTTTTTTTTTTTTTCAATTTAACATCTTAGCCATTTTTGTTTGGTTGGTTGGTTTGTTTATTTGTTTTGAGAGGGTCTCACTGTAGTTCAGGTTGGTCTAGAACTCTATGTAGCCCAGGCTGGCCTTGGTGATCCTCCTGCATTAGCTTCCTGAGTTCTGGGATTACAGGCATATTCCACCATGCCACCGACTTCTCTTTCTCTTCCCCACCCTACAAACATGACAAACTCAGATACTGGCCCGACCAAGCCAAAGAGACCGGGAGGTTACCACCTTCACTGCCTTTAACCAGGGCCAGCAAATCCTAGTCCTCCACCAAGGTCATAGGAAGGCTCTGAAGATGAGCTGGTGACTCCCAAGCCAGCTGTATATCAGAACCCAAGAGAAGAGACATGTATAAAAAAAAACACCTGGCCAGGTGTGATGGTACACATCTTGTTATCAGACACATTCTCTGTGCACCCTGACCTGACCTCTACCATACCCTGACCTGACCCTTCCTACCCACCTAGGGGTCTGTGTAGTTGCCACAGGAGGGAGGAAGCAAACGCCCCCTCCCACTCAACACACCCCCGAAGCTGGGGAACATGAAGTAAATGAAAGCCCAGCTCTGAGCAAAGAACTGAAGGTTGTGTAATGGCACGGAAGAGGGAACACAGCTGAATTCTGTCCCTTTCAGGAAAGTGGTTTAATACCTCAGGGTACAGGGGGTTGATGAGTACAAGATGAGAAAAAAGCCTGGCCCCCCCATTTCCTGGGCAGTGCCCAGACATACCCACAACATAGAGTGGGGCCTCCGTGTGCTTGATGTTGCAGCTGTTGCCTGCAATGCAGGTATAGCGGCCCGAGTCTTCGGGGGCCACATCATGAATCACCAGGGAGCCGTTTTGGAAGATGTGCATCCTGCCGGAAGAGACACCACAGCACTGCCTCCCCACCAGCTCCCCAGGACTGTAGAGAGCCAAGCAAGGAGAAGGAAGGAGACCCTACCTGGGTCCCAGCTTAGTGGGGTCCAGGATGCGGTCTTTGCCTTTCCACTGGATGAGTGGCTTGGGGTCGCCCTGGGCCTCGCACCGTAGCAGGGCTGTGTGGCCCTGATACACAGTCGTGCGCTCTGGCTCTACTTTGAAGGTGATAAAAACTGGACAGGGAGAGACCAGCAAGGGGCAAGGAGAGTAAGCAAAGGGCGGCAGGGTGCAGGGTGCCACCCCGAGCCCACCAGCCCTGACCTCGGGGCCCTGTGGGCTCCCACCTGCCACAGTAAGCTGCACATGTGCTTGGATCTGGCCCTGCGGCCCATTGGAGGCAATGCAGGTGTAGTTGCCGGCGTCATCCCGGGTCACACGGGCAAAATGCAGGGTACCAGCATTGTCTGTCACCCACTCTGGAAGGCTGCTCCCATCTGCAGGGCAATAGAGGGAAATTATGAACCAAAACTGCACAGGAGACTGGTGATGCCCTCTGCTACTCACTCACCTCTACTTAGAAACAAGCCACCACTCCCGACTACCCACAGGCCAGGTTCTCACTCCTGAGCCGGCTGTTGAAAGTCCCCATTATGCTCTTCTCCAATCTTCCTCTCAGCTCCTTCCACTGCCCATGTGACATCCCACTTCTGCCAAATGGGACATCCACCCACCCTGGCCAAGGACTGGCTTTGTTCTTACCGTGCTGTCTGTCATCCCTCACTCTGAGAACTAGCCCATCCCCGCTCTCTGCCACCACCCCAGTCTTCGGCTCCATCTGGAGTTCCACCTCTCTCAGAACTCAGCAGAGGAGCCCAGAGCCTGCAACCGTATTCTCACTCCTGCTGTGGGGATGAATGTGAAAATTGATCCAACTCTTTAAATCACAATTTGGGGGCGGGGATTTAGCTCAGTGGTTCTGCCACCTGCCTGGCAAGCAAGCGCAGACCCGAGTTTCATCCCCGGTACCAAAAAAACCCTCAAAAAACCCCCCACAGTTTGGTGGCCCAGGGATTCAGCTCAGTGGTGCTGCACCTGCCTCACAAGCACAAGGTCTCGAGTTTGATCCCCGGTACCAAAACAAAACAAAACACAATTTGACAACTATCATCAAGGGTTATAAAAATGTTCATACCCATTTACACATAATTATTCCATTTCTGAGATTCTTTCCCATAGGAAATAAACTTAAATTCAGGAAAAAAAATACACTAAACTTTGGCTTAAAGATATTTATTGCAGCTGAGCATGGTGGTGTACATCTGTAATCCCAGCACTCAGGAGGCTGAGGCAGGAGGATGGGCAACTAAGTTACTTAATGAGACCCTGTCTCAAAATTAAAAATAAAGGTCTGGGGATGTAATTCAGTGTGAAAGCCCTCGGTTCAATCCCCAACACTGTCAAAGAAAAAGAAAAGAAGAATTTAATAAGTTAAACTATATGTACAATGAAATTGCTATGCAAAAGTGAAGACAGAAAAAGAGGACATATACTGCATGATGATGGATGGTGGGATTATGCATTTTCCTCTCCTCAAATTCTTCTGCAAGAGCCCATTACTCTGATGTTGGAGTGGAGGAGGAGGACCTACCACCTGCCTAGCGTCATCTTTGAAGTTGTCCTATGCTAGTATCTGCCACCAGGCACTGGCTCTTTCCTGCCTCCTAACTGGACTATATATCAACCCCACATTGTCTGTCTACCTCACAGTTCCTGAAGCAGCGCCGGGTGCTCAGCTGGCCCTCAGACATGCACACCTCTGATCAGTGCCACCCCATGCCCACAGTACCCACCTGCCCGCACCCACTTGATTGTGGGCTTCTCTCGGCCAGTGGCTGAGCAGGGCACCGTGGCCTCTTTATCAAACTCCATGCACTGCAGAGGCTGAGGTGGTGGCGTGAACTTGAGCTTTTCTGTTTCAGCAGAAAACAAGCAGGTGGAGGGAAAGGAGCAGCTGAGGCAGCTGGAGAGGCCAGAGACAGGCCTGCTGTGCCTTCTCTGTTACTCCCTCCCCATGTCCCACACGCCGGCTCACCCAGCACTTGGACGCGGGCCTGTGCCTCAATGCTGCCAGCAGGTGTACTGCTCACACAGCGGTACCATGTGCCATCATACACCTCCACATTGTTGATGCGCAAGGTCCCGTTCTTGGAGACCTCAAATCGTGAGTCCTACAGCACAGAAGTGGGAATAGGAGCTTGAGCACCTGAACCCAGCCTACCGTCTCCCTGGGGGCAGTCTCAGGGGAGAGAACATCAGGGATGAATGCAAAGGACAGTGGGGTGGGAGGAGACCCCCCATCCTCCAGCCAGCACCCCACTCACCTCTGAGATGAGCATCTGGTTCCTGTACCAGATGACCATTGGCTTGGGGGTGGCCTGGGTCAGGCAATGCAAATAGCCAGGCTTGCCCTCCTCCAGCTGGCTGTCCTGGGGCTTCTTGAGCCACGTGGGCACAGCTAGAGGGACAGGGATGAACAGTGATGCCTGATTAACAGGTCTCCAAAACCAAAGACCAAACCCTGTGAAGTGCTAACACTGGACCCAAGCTCAGAAATGCCAGGCTGCTCAGCTGATGCCTGCAGCCATTGGCCCTTATGCAAAGTCCTAGGTGCCCACACCTTTCCAACGTGACCTTAGTTGCATCACAGTAGGCCCCTGAAGTAAGTGTTCATCTACTCAATTTACAGCTAGGAAAACAGAGGTTCAAAAAATAACAGTGATTTGCTAATACATGATAGGATTTAAAATGCTGGTCTATATACGACTTCTGCATCTTATTACACCAAAACAGGCCAAGCCTCAGTCTTCACATTTCTGTTCTACTTTAGCCACACCAGCTCCCTAGTGATGTTCAATTCAATCGGAATGGATCATCCCCAAACCTGTATCTTGGCTCCTGATGTGCTCCCATGAGCTCCAGTCCTAGAATCCACTGCCTTCTGGCATTTGTAAGTGGATACCTAACAGGCATTCAACTTTTATGTGTGCAACGGAAAATACATAATTTACCCCAAAACCTGCTCGCCCCAGTTTTCTCTACCTGGATAAAAAATACCACTATCCAGCCAATGAGAGAAAGCTTGACTTCCTCTCTACAGTCCTCCCCACTCCAATGAATCACATCAACCCTACCTGCTCAGCTCCGAAATCTACCCTGAACCCGATCACCTCTCCCCACCATCACTACCTCCTCAGTGTGAGCTTTTTCCACAGCTCCCATGGACTGTTACAGGCATCTGCTAATTGACCTCACTTTTATACTCTTGGCCCTGAATCTTACTCTTCTCTGAACAGCCAGAAAGGTTTGTTTTCTACTCAAAACCTTGCAGGGGCTTCACATCCAACTGGGCGCGAAACAGTATCACAACTTCACATTTACAAAGCCCCTTACATATTCAGATCTTTGCAAATGTACCCACTTGGAAAGGTATCAGTAACGTAAAGCTAGCTAAGTGGGACAAAATCATTGTAAAATAGTGTGGATGCGTGTGTGCATTTTATGTTTTTATGGTTTTTTCTTTTTTGAGATAAGGCCTCACTATGTAGCCCAGGTTGGCCCTGAACTCATCCTGCCGCGGCCTCCCATGTGCTGAGGTTACAGGTGTGCACCACCACGCCTGGGTCTGTGTGCATGTTATAATCTGTATTGGGGATCCTTTTGAACTATCACAAAAGTTTGGAATAAGGGATAATATAAAGAAATAAGTAAATAAAAACAATAAATGCCAGGGCTGGGGGGGTGATAGCAGGGTGCTTGCTTAGCATGTATGAGGCCCCGTGTTTCATTCCTACTATCCCCTCAAAAATAAAAATAAAAATATCTATGTCAGTTGCAAGATATATAGGCTTAATCATATGGATTTTCAATCATATCTACTGCTTTTCTCCTCTTTTTTCATAAGGAATCTGTTTATTCAAGAAGCTTAGAAAGTATAACAAACTAAAACAAAACAAAAATCACTTATTATTTTGTTCACAGATAGCTCTTAGAAAAGAAAAAGAAAAATCTTTTTTATCTATTGTATGTCATCTTTCCAGTGACTCTACAGGGTATTGGACTAACAGCCCCATTTCACAGATGAAGAGGCGAGCCCTGGCAAGGCAGGTCACTTGCTACCTGTGGTCACTGCACACACAGAGGCCTCCAAACTTCCAGCCCAGTGCTCTGTCCTCTGTAGCCAGAGGACCAGTCTTCCACAGGGCTGCCACCCACCCCAACCTCTGCGCCTGGCTTCCCACCGTCCACCACAGCACCTCCCAGTGGGAACTGATTCCCAAGGCTGCAGGGCTCAGGCTAAGAGGGAATCAGGCCAAGAGCCAGGGTGGCCAGGACCATAGCGTCCAGAGTCCAAGGCCCGCCCCCCTGCCCCGGCCCAGCTCCCCTCATCCTCCCCTTGACCCTCAGGGAACAGGTGCTCACTGGCCACGGTGATGTTGATATCCTGTCGCCGCTGACCAGCCAGGTTGGCCGCATGGCAGGTGTAGACACCAGTGTCACTCTCAGCTATGACGGCAAACACCAGCTCCCGGCCCTTCTGGTAGACCCTGCCGTGGGCTGGCAGCCGGGCTCCTGCGTGTTCCCACCACATGCTGGGCTCGGGGAGACCCCGGGGGGACAGGCAGGCCACACGCTCCTCGCTGCCAGCCGTGAACACTTGCGGCTCCAGGGGTGGCATGTCTTCAATTTCTGCGGGGGCGTGAGTGGGAGGCAACTGGCCTGATGACTGAGGCTCTGGATGTGATGTCCTCCCACAGCAAGCCCAGCCCGCTGCAGCCCACAAACACTCTACTGTCACCTTTTGCATCATCTGTTCCTCGTCCCAGGGTCCTCTTTCTCCCCTCCCTCCATAGCTGAACACAGAGAGGAGCCTATTTAGGCTCACACCCTATGTGCTGACCTCAGTATGGGACCCACCTGCCAGATGAAGCGTGGCTGTCAGGATGACAGGAGGGCCCCTCTGCCCCTGGCCAATGCAGCGGTAGACACCTGCATTGCGTGGCCGGACCTGGGTTAGCAGCAGGGAGCCATTGGCAAACACGGTGGCTCTGCGGAGGTGCGTGGGACTGCGGAGGGGAGAGCGAGCTGTTTAGAAGTGACCTGTAGGCCTCCTTCAGGATGGGAATGCAAGGGAATCTCACCCACAAAGTCAGAAATGCAGGAAGCAACTGGGCAGGGATGGGTTGAGGGAAGGAAACAGAAGCTCCATGCTGTGTGCGAGTGTGTATGTGTGTGAGTGTGCGTGTGCATACACATATGTGTGAACTTGCTCATGTGTACGTGTGGGTGTTTTCCAGCTCTAAGAGGCTCAGTTTTGGGTGCAGTGAGGGCAACCACAGTACAAGTAAGCAACACGGTAATGACCAGTGCACAACTGCCAGGACCCAGGGGCCAGAGCTTCCTGGGCCAAACCAGGTAAAGAACTGAGGCTGTCCTCAGGGTTGAGGCCAGGCACATTCAAGCCTCACGCCTAGGTACCCACATCTCCCACACTGCAATCATCTGGCACCACTGACACTGCTCTGCCAGAGCTGGGGCAAGGCAGGAGGCCCCTCCCTACAGAGAACTGCCCTGGCCAATCTCTCTACCCAGTGTGTGACCACATAGGTCCCCTATGTCCTTCCCATCGCTGGAGACCCAAGTGGGCAAGAAGGAAGGAAAAGGAGAGCCACTGCCTTTGAGCTCCCTGGGCAAAGGGTCCTCTTCCCTTCGTTGGGGTCACTTGCTAACAGCCAAGCACCCCACTGCCATCTGCTGGAAATTTGTAGTAATACATGTAAAACCTAAGATACCTGATTTGGATCCAATCTCATCGCCACTGGAGAACACACATGTGCAGTACACAACCTGTACCACAGCGCGGGGCTGCTGCCAGCCAGATGTCTTACCGACTGCGGTTAGTGATGGGAGTCTCATCCTCAAAGACCCACTGCAGGCTCGGGGGTGGCTGGGCTGAGAATTGGCAATGGAACATGGCCTCCTCATTCCTGGCCACGACCACATCCTGGGGTGCCAGCACCACCCTGGCAAAACTTTCATCTGGGGCGAGAAAGCATCATGTGGTGAGCGGACAGGGTGGTGGGCCACTGCCCATCCCCTGTGGCCTTCTCTGTTCCCAGGCTGGGCTCACCAGCAATGTTCAAGGTGAAGTTCTGGCTGCTGCAGGCCTGGCCGAAGGCATTGTGGGCACAGCAGGAGTAGACACCATTATGCTCAGGAGCCGCTGGCCGCAGGCTCAGGTTCCGCTCCCTGCTGCTGACTGTGTGGTTGCCCTGGCCATCGGAGAGGGGTGTCCCGTCCCAGAACCACTGGTAGGTGGGGCTGCAGGGCAGACAGGTCAGCAGCAAGGAGCAGGGAAGAGAATACAAATGGAGAAACAGGCCCGATAGGGAAAGCGGCATGCTCAAGGAGATGGAATCAGATTGAGATCCCCAAGCTCTTGACTCCCAGGTCCAGGACCAGTCCCTGCCCTGTGAGGCTCCTCTGAAGCATTGTGTGAGGGGTGCAGAGCACTGTGAGGGCTACAGAAGGCAGCGTCTAGGATAGGGGAGATGTCCCTACCTGTCCAGCACAACCCTCGCCATTCGCTCTCCTTGGCTCCTTACCGGGGGTGCCCGTCAATGTGACATCGCAGCATGACCGGGGTCTGTGGCTGGATCTCGGCTTCAGAGGCCGGGTGCTTCAGGACTACAGGGCCAGCCTCAATCCCTGCAATGGACCAAGGATGCAGTGGGGATGGGAGAGGCACACCAAGGTGGGGTGCAGGAAGCCACACCCTGAGGCTTGGAGCCAATACACAGGACGGCCCTACAAAGTTGGGGAGGGGACTGCGGGTACCAGATACAGAGTTTCTGCACCCCCTACTCCCACTCCCACCCCTGGCAGCTTCAGCCTGACCTCCAAATGGCCTCATTGCCCTTCCCATCTGTGAAAGCCCCCAACAAATCAATGGGCCCAAGGCTTGAAGGAGGAAAAAAGACTTGGAAAAAAAGAGTTCTTGGTGGTAGAACATGTGCTTAGCATGTGTGAGACCCTGGGTTCAAGCCTCAGCATCAAAAAAAAAAAAGCAGCAGCAGCCAAGCATAGTGATGGATGCATATAATCCCAGTGCTCTGGGAGGCTGAAGCAGGAGAATCACTAGTTTAAGCACAGCCTGGGCAATTATTTAGCAGCTTAACAACATCCTGTCTCAAAAATTTTTTAAAGAGCTGGGGGTGTAGTTCAATGCAAAGGCTCATTTCAATTATCAGTACTGAAAGAGAGAAAGACAGTCAGTTAGACAGATAGCCAAGGTATGACAGAGGATCAGGCATAGTCCCACTCTCACATTTGATGTTGAAAGAGGCATTGGTACTTCGGACTTCCTCTCCGGTTACATTATCCCTGGCCACGCACTGGAAGGTGCCTGAGTCCTGCAGCCGGTCCACAGCGGCAAAGCTCAAGCTGCTGCCCTGGGTGAAGCGGCGCTCAGAGTCCTGGACTGGGGCCCCATTGAGCAGCCAGGACACATGCACAGGGCCTGGGGCCTCCACCTCACAGCGAAGCAGCGCCCGGCGCCCCTGCAGTGCATCCTGGGATGATGGCTCCTTGATGAAGACGATGGCTGCCTGGACACCTGCAAATGGAGATCAGGAGAGACAGGGTCAGGAGGAGCTGCAAGCTCTGTCCTCACATTGGCCACCTGTGCACCGGAGGAATAAAGGGCCTGTGTACACAGGAGGCATCCAATAAGTACAGGTGGGAACAATCAGGCAACCACAACTGCCAAGAATCCACTGGGGAATTTACAATTGTCTTTACCAGATGTGGTAAAAAAATACAGTGAATGACATTGCCAAGTGCCACCCAACAGAAAGGCAGGCTCATAAAAATGTGACAGTATGTCCTTCTCAATCTTAGTCACTGGATCTGGCACCTGGCTCTTCCCCAGTCAAAATGACCACAGAAGGAAACACTCTGAATCTATTTTAGACACTGAGGCAGCCAGGACAGTGCAACTAAAGACACTCAGGAAAGAGGACTTCCAGAACTGCTTCAGAAAGTAGCAAGAGAGATGGGATTAGTGTGTCCAAGGGGGGGGGGGTTGCGTTGAGAGGGATTCATAGCAATGTGTTTTTTAAAAAGTTTTAAGCATTCAACTGCATATTTTGGTCACATCTTGTAAACTGTGCTGGGTGCCCTGCAGAATACACAACACAGCACCTTTCCCTGTCCCTGAGTCAGGAGGACACAGAGGACAAATATATAGGTCCTGGCTATGGTCACATAAGTGCCTGGTAGTGGGGCTGGCACTCAGTTTTCTGCTGAGTACACAGAAAGATGGGAGCACCGAGGCTGGGGGTGGGGAGCTCCCCTTGGCTCCTCCTACGAACAGCACCTGGGACCTGTGGGCCAGATCCTGGGGAGTCTTGATGCCAGGCTGAGGGGCAGGGATGTTGGCGGCAACCCTCCCCACCATCCAGAACCAGGGCACTGAACAAAGTTAAACAAAATCCAAAGGGCAGACCAGAAAGGTCACTGTGCTCACACACCTTGGAGAGCACTGGGAGCAGAAGTGGCCACCATCGGAGATGCTTTAAAGCTCCCCCTCATTTGAAGCCGCCACAGAGGGTCTTTGGCCCAGGATCCCCAGGAGCTCCCCTAGGAGAACTGACCCCAACCCTGGAGAAGCTGCTATACTCTAGAAAGCTGAATTATCACCAAAGACGCTGTCCCTGAGAAATCCACTGTGGCCAAGGCCACCATTTAGCTCTGGCCAGAGCTAAGGGACAAACATGGACAGAGACCCTGTAACCAGTGGTGGACCCGGAGCAGTGGGGACAAAGGACACAAGAAATCAGCACTGAGCCACAGATGGCTGGGAGGCAGAGGGCAGGGCTGGGCAGGTGGGTGGCATGATTGCAGCAGTGGCAGGAGAAACACACTGGGCTTTGTTCTGGCCCACAAGGGCAACCTGAAGAGCCCTGGAGCCAGTGGACTTGAATATGGGAAAGGAGAGGACACCTCCAGCACCCAGGAGACGCAGCTGTGCCTTTGGGGACAGTGGACTGTGCCAGGGCAGGGAGACACTAACAGTGCCTCCCCATCACTGTCCAAACCCCAGAGATTCATCTTGGCCCAGAGGGCACCTTTCCAGCCTCTGGGGTGGGCTTTGCTTCCCAGGGACAAGAATCCATCATCCCTGGCCCTGGGATGTAGCCCAGCAGCACAGCGCCTGCCTGGCAAGAGTGAGGTCCTGAGTTCGATCCCCAGTACCAAAAAAAAAGAAAGAACCCATCATCTCATAAAGTTAGTGTCAAGACAAGTCCAGGATCCCCCAGGGTGTGTTCCAGACAAAGGGGCCCTGTGTTAACCCATCTCTCCACTTCTCTAAGTGCCAGCCCACTTCCAGTACAAACCACAGCCTTGGAGCCAGAAGGGGCCCCAAGCGCCCCTGCTACTTCTCAGGGGCCACTGGGGCTCTCCGGGTGGGACAATTCACCATGCTGGGTGATCCCACCCATTGTGCAAGTCAACAAACCTGCCCCCCAGGCACTGCTGAGCACCCCGGTCACAGTGCCAATGCAAACACACCCAGCATATTTCCAAACGCTCCACAGGGTGTGGCTCTGGCCCCACTGGGTGCTGCTGGGCACTCTGCATAAGTTCTTTGTGTACAGATGGTGGGTACACTCAGGCCCCAGCCTTTTCCAGTGCCACCTGCAAGGGTCAGATCCAACCATGGGGAGTCACCTAACAACCACCATTGTCTCACACAAGTGCCAGACACATAAACTAAGTCACCGAGGCTGCCCGGGGCAAGAACTGGCATGGAGAATTCTTCCTGCCACCTCTCATCATGACAGACACACCTAGGGTCCCAGGAGGCCTCTGCAAATGTGACTCCCCAAAACCTTGGGACCCTCGATCTAGAACTCCAGGATGCTCAGCAAGACCACAGAGACAGGGGCCGGGGATTTAGCTCAGTGGTTCCGCCGCCTGCCCTGCAAGCACAAGGACTCGAGTTCGATCCCCGGTACGCGACCCCCCCAAAAAGAGACCACAGAGATAACTGCCTGCAAGGTGTGGGCAAAACCTGCTTCCGGGGGCTGGGGATTTAGCTCAGTGGTTTCGTTGCCTGCTGCGCAAGCGCAAGGACCCGAGGTTGATCTCTGGTACCAAAAACAAAAAACCAAACAAACAACCTGCTTCTGGCTCGGTCTGTACACATAGAGGGCAGCTGGAGCCTTGCACACATACAAAGTGCGTAAGGGTTGGGGTACGGACAGCTTGGGCTCCAATCCTGTTGTGAGCAAGAGACACAGGCTCTCTGTGCCCCGGGCTCCTCTACCTCACTCATGCCAGTGTCATGAGACATAAACACACCAACATGTGTGAAGGGCCTTGGCCTGGGTCCACCTTCAGGAAACAGCAGCTACTGTTAATCAGCTCACGACTGCCTTCCCTGCTCAAGGACTCAGATTCTAAGAACATTAGGAAGCTCCCCATTGAGCCCACCCGATGGTACATGTCTGTATACCAGCACTCTGGGAGGCTGAGTCGGAAGGTCACAAGTCCAAGCCTAGCCTAGGGAACTTAGCAACACCTTATCTCAAAATAAAAAATAAAAAGCCCCAGGTTCAATCCCCGGAAGGAAGGAAGGAAGGAGGGAGGGAGGCAGGCAGGCAAAAAGAGAGACAGGCTCCCCTTGCTAAGGCCAGGACCACCTCCAGGCCTGGATTGGGAGTAGCAGCACAGAAGAGGAAGGGTGGAAGAGAAGCAGCAGGTGGTGGGTGTGGAGGGATCAACCCTGGAGGTACAGGGACCATAGACCACCTGCCACAGAAACCCGAGCTGGGAGAGAAGCAGCCTGACTCAGGGGCCTGGCCTGCTCAAGGCTGTGGTGAGATGCTGTTTCTAGACTGCCACTCACAGCCCACTGCGCCCCCACAAGGGGCTGGGAAACATCAAAGGCAGCCCTGAGGGGCCTCTGTCCTGACTTCGGAACAGCAGGTCCTGGTTAGGGCTTGGCTGGGGCTGCTTTAGATGTTTCAAAAGGCAGCGGGAACAGCCTCGGGCTCCTCCCAGCTCCAAGCTGGGGACCGTGTGTGCACAGAGGAGGTTGGAGAGTGGCCAAGGGTGCCCTGCCTGGCCATGGGCATGCCTGGCAGGGGAGGCAGGTCTGCTGCTCTGTTTGGGGATATAGAGACTTAGCGGCCTCCCAAGGTCTCTGGCAATATTAGACCCCATGAAGCAGACGACAGCAGTGACCCAGAAGAAGCAAGCTTTGAGACTGTGGTGCCACTGGGCGCAAGGTGGCACATTCCTGCCCCTGTTGGAGAAGCCTGTGGCCTAGGAAAAGCCTTCCTGGTGACATGGGTACAGCCCCCTCCCAAACTGTCCCCTCTCCCCATTGTACTCACCTCTGCTCAGTGCCATCCTGTTCCTGCTGCACCTTAGCGATGCCACCTTCATGTTGCCTCCCTGCAGCCCTCTCCCTGCTGTAACCTTGGGACACCAGGTTGTCCCCCAAGCTGTGCGAGCTAAGTGGATTCACGTCCCCCAAAACCAAACACAGCACAGAGCACACAGGGAGCCCAAGAAGCTCCTTGTGAATGATGAGCAGGCAGAGCCATCTGCCTGGTGCCAGCTGACCCTGACAGGCCTGGGAGGACACTTCCTAAGCCACACACCAGCTCCCAGCATCATCTACACACAGACTCTGCCACCTGCATCTCCAGCCCTGAGCCTGCTCCCTGCCCCAGCAAGCATCTACCCAGGTGTCCAGCCAACCCACGAGCATATGTGTGTGCACACACATGTGTAAACACAATTGCATGGGGAGTACAGAGCAGCAGCGGTTTTCCCTAAATATTCCGGCTCTAAATAACATCAGCTACTTGGGTCCAAGTACACACCTCAACTACCCCCCTCAGTCCTCTGGCCTGGGAAAGACAGCCCACAACAGGGTTTGGCAGGTTGTTATGGCCTTACAACCTGCCAAACAAGACTGGTTCATTCGAACTTACCACCCCTCCTTTTCCCAGTACTGGGTATTGAATCCAGGGCTTCTGCACTGAGTTACATCTCCAGCTCTTTTTTATTCTGAGACAGGTAATCGATAATCACTAAGGTGCCCAGGCTGAACTCAAACTTGTGACCCTCCTGCCTCAGCCTCTCATAGGGCTAGGATTACAGGACTAGGCCACCCTACCCAGCTATCTCCCTCTTTAAGGAAAATTCCATTCTTTGGACAGATGGCTCAGGATCAGGCTGAGACATCAGATCCTAGTTAGCGAGAGACTCTGCACTACCAGCCCAAAAGCCCCCCAGAAGCACACTCCAGAGAGCAGTGTTTTGCACGGTAGTGAGATCACTGAGGAACTGGCTGACCTTTTCGATGCCCAAGGTTAACTAACCACACATATATGGCTCACTCCTCCACACCAACGTATGCCAAAGACTCGCTGCTGCTCCTCTATGGGACATAAGGGACATCCTGGACTTCAGGCCAAAGGGACTCCCATTAATCCTCTGCCTGGAAACTTCCAGGTACCCCAGGGCCTCTCCAGAATCTTAGCACCTGCCCACTCCTCTGGACCCTGACCTTGAGGGCTGTGGCTGGCACACTTTGTG